TTAGAGTATGAGTAATGTGTTCTTAGTACTTACTTAAAATGTGTAATGTTTTTGTAGTACAGATATTAAATTATTTTCTAACACGTAGATGCGATCCGCGGAGTACCTAACGGGTTACCGGGGCTCCGGCTCGAAGTGCAGGAGTAGGAACGGGGTGGGTTTTTAGTCAGTAAGAGTCTGACACTCCCTCCTGCCTCACTCGGGTTGGAGTAGTCATTCGATGATTATCCCCCGTTAAAAAAAGACGTAGATGCGATGTTGTTTTTATGAGAGTAGGTAACGATCATTCTTATGTTGCGTCTATATCTAGCGAATGCATACGTACCTATATTTTAAATATTTCACCTGCTCACCTGCATTTATGAAATGATGTCAAATCTTCAATCGTGGTTTTATGAATAAAATTAGGCATGTATTTATTTATTTTATTGAAAAAAAAGAACGTACGCAATTCATATTCGTAAGTCAGTCCGTCCGTTTTTTTTTAAATAAAACTTTGCCCCCTCTAGCTTTTTCTCCTGTATCGTTGGAGTGTTTACAAACATTTGTACAAGTTCACATACACAAGACACCCAGACCCGGAACAACAATCTGCGGATCACACAAAGAGTTGTTCCGTGCGGGAATCGAACCCGCGCCTTGCGAAATTGCCCAACCACCGCACCAACCATGCAGTCGATTGGGAAGATTTAAATAAATGATTGTAATTTTTATACTATCTATGGTAAATAATATAATATAGGTTTTTATACCGGTCGTTTTGTTTTTTGCTTCATCACGCCTAGTATTCGTGATGGCAGTAGCACACATAGACTTTACTGAGATTATAATTAGCCTCAGATTTTAAGATAATTAATTAGAAAAAAGGCCATTGACATAATAAGCACCAATTTATTCATACTTTTCCGTTCGCAATGTTATCGTAAAATATTCGATTCAGTAACATAACGAGTTTTTGGTATCTTATAATATAGTTTTGTAAATTATGGAGTCTATATTTACTGATATTATAATGTATATTATTATATAATAGGTAATTAAGTGTTTTTTCTTTATTTATAGGCGAGTTCACCTTGGCACAATGATAAAGAATTATTTTATGGTATTTATTTCTCACTAAAAATATTAATGTTTTCTCGAAATGTAAACATTATGAATATGGATAGTAGTTAATGTTTATTCTTTTGCCTCGTTGGCCGAGTGGTCGCAAGTGCGACTGCCGAGCAAGGGGTATCGGGTTAGATTCCCTGGTCGGGCAAATTATTACTGGGTTTTTAAAATAATTCTCAGTAGTAGCACGGAGTCTGGAATTGTGCCCGGTAATGGCAATAGGCTCACCGCCTATTACATGGGACTCATAACATAAATAGTGTTACATTGTACAGTGGCGTAATGTGCACCTCTGCCTACCCCTTCGGGGGTAAAAGGCGTGATGTTATGTTATGTTATGTTTTATTCTTTTGAAATGATTAATCGTACGTACCTATTGTTCGATAGTTAATATAGACAGTTATGTTGATTCATATTACCATAAACCTTAGTTATGGTGGTAGATGAATAAATAAAACAAGTTTATATTAATTAATGGCCGATTAAAATAAAATCTCTTTGTGGATTTAAATACCGCCACAGGACTATTTGTCATAAGTCACAACACTCATATAGTGTTGTGTGTGTGAGACTGCCTCGTTGGCCTAGTGGTCGCAAGTGCGACTGCCGGGCGAGGTGTCTCGGGTTCGATTCCCGGGTCGGGCAAAGTATCACTGGGTTGGTTTTAGTCAGTAAGAGTCTGACAGTCCCTTTCGTCCTTCCTAGGCGAGGGGGCTCCATGAGGATTTCCCACCTTGGGGGTGAAAAAATAAATAAATATAAGGCCTAACAAAAGTATTGTATGGTAGCTTACTGGGACTGACTCAATTGTACATAGATACTAGCGGACCCGACCGACGTTGTCCTGTAATAATAGGTATAGATAAATAACCTAGAAATCGACTGCAGCGCCATCTACCGGGCTGATTTGTGAATCTTAACCATTCCCAGATCCCTTTGAACACACACAAAAAAATTCATCAAAATCGGTCCAGTCGTTTGAGAGAAGTTCAGTGACACATACAAACTCACAGAAGAATTATATATATAAAGATTTTAATTTTACGAGATAGTAAACAAATGAACTGTAAATAATAATAAAAAATACCTAGAAACGACACATGAAAAGGTGAGGCGAGTCGTAAATAGACTTAACCTTATTTTTATCTACTAGTCGATGTGAGGAAATTGTTACTTTCTTATCACTGATAGTGTCAAAATTGTTAAACAGTATCAGCTGTCAAAACAAAGCAATAGTAAATAGGACTAGGCTATACATAGTCTACGTATGTGAACATAAACATACATACATAATATCACGCCTTATATCCCTAACGGAGTAGGCTGCGGTGCACATTACGGCACTTATGCAGTGGCATAAGTGAAAAGTGGGTGTTAAATTGTACCACTGTACAATGGGGTGAAGCTATTGATGGCAATAGCTTCACCCCCTATAACATGAGACTTATAACATGAATTGGGAAAAGAGGGGGTACGTAGTCTTGAATTGTGCCCAGTATATGGATACCAGGAACAATTCAAGACGTGCTACTACTGAGATTTTTTTGAAAAACCCTAGTAATACTTTGCCCGACCCGGGAAACCCGAAAACCCCTTGCCCGGCAGTTGCACTTGGGACGACACGGTCAACGAGGAAGGCAGTGGTTTTAGGATAAAGGAAAATCAAAAACTATTGAGTCCCGGTGTTTTCCGAAATAAGTCGAACTAAACCAAATATTGAACGTGCCGTTTAATTATTAGGTATAAAATTATTGTTTTCTTTGATGCCTTATGATTTATTTTTATAATTTTGTTTAAGGTGTAAATATTTTAGTTTTAAATTATTTTTTATATTTTAAGTTGTATATATTAATAGTCGCAAATTAGTATTATATGTTAGTTTATGCATCATTGAATATAATAAATAAATGACAGCAAAAAAGAAAAGGTATAAAAATTTATGTTAATATTTTATTTAAAGAAATTAGTATTTCAGTGCTATAGCACTGAAATACTATAGGTAAGTCTTAAACGTATACGTTTAAGACTTACCAATAACCAATTTAGACATTGCGGAAAACTCGATCACTAACAAAATCCACTTAATTTTTTTTGTCAAAGTTCTCATTGGTTCAGTTAATATCATTGCGTGACTACCATACTTCCTAGGTTCTATAGTTTCCTTATAACGAGGGTCGTAATGACCTCTTGTGAAATCAGGTAGGTTTTACGAGCCTACTATGATCACACTAATGTTATATAATATGTAAAAGTTTGTTTTTTTATGTTTGTCCGTTAATCACGTTGAAACTACTGAATGAATTTAATGTCAAAGTCAAAGCATTTATTTCAATTACTTAAACCATAATTTGGTACTTTTGAAACGTCAACAAATACAAAATAAAAATTAAAATATAAAGAGCTATGAACTAAAATATTTACACCTTATTCCTTTTAATAAAATATTTACATAAATTTGTATATGTAATAATTAAACGCAACATTGGGGTAGACCACAAATTTTTATTTTAATGTCCGTCTGATAGATTATTTAAAAACATTAGACACGTATTTTTTATTTTCTCACAGAAACGAATAGTTTCGAAGATATATTGATTTGAAATGTCGCGTGACGTCACTTCTCAGTACATTTTATACTAAGGAATGACGTTTTAGCCCCCACTCCTAAACTTTGATTCGTTTTATCTAAGTATTGTTTTATTATACGACAAACTAAAAAAATACGTGTCTAATATTTTTTCATTACCTAACTGACGGACTAATTATATTTTTAATTTTCATACCCTGTCATCATCCCCATTACAGACTTATTTCGGAAAATTTCTATATTGACATGCGAATGTTAATAACGATTAGAACACGAGACGAGAAGTTGATTGTGATATGATAGAATGCTTTTATTTTGTATTTTACTCTTTTAAGAAAAACAGGTAAATAAACTTGAATATTATTATAATTATAAGGCTGTTGGGTAATTAATTGATAACTTTGAATCAGATCGTAATGAACGTAGGTAAAGGCTAATTAAAAATATATTTTTCCCTATTTTCCATTGTGACCGTCAATTGAATTGACATCATGGTTTTTATTCTCACCTTATTTGACGTTTAATTAATGTCATAATCCATTTTTTTATATATTGACTTTTATTTTTAGTTTCAATAAAGGCCAGACATTTTTTTTGTTGTTCAAAGAAGACTAGATTATTATGAAAAAAGATTCAATGACATTTTTTTTATTTAATTCTTTTATAGTACCTACCTATATTATTGCCCTATCCTACCCTATTTTTTTATTACCAGTGCCTATATTATCGCAGAAAATTCTGAGAATCTATAGTTCAGTCGCGTTTCCAGTCTTGCTAATGAAAGTAGTTCATAAATAAACATGCAATATTTTTTTTTATTACTTATAATCATTATTATTATAATACAATTAATAGACATTTTGACAAAATCTAAAAATCATTTTAAAAACCCCAATGAATAAATTGGATCTAAATTTAAATCATAAAATAAAAAAATAATGGAATTAATTTTCTTTTTGAATTTTGTAAATCGAATGTTATTCAATGTCATGAATGAATTAAAACTGTTCCATTTCTAAACATCCCACATACAGAGCGATTCCAATAAGTGTCGCTTCACACTTGTCGAGTAACACAGAAGATGCTGTGCAAGTGACCTTGACGCGATAATCCGGTAGCGTCACCTCAATGAAAACTCAGTACTCAGACACAACCATACTTTTTCCTGATTAGCTACTGAGCCAAATAGTCGCGTCCAGTCCGCTCGACCGACAGAACGAACTATATTAGCTCGATATTAGTGTTGTGTTGTGCACAGTGCTATGTTAATTTGAACCTTATTTGTTAAAGGTAAAGCAGCAAAATGTTAACGGGATGGCGGTTAGTGTTGTCGAAATGTGAGTATTTTTAATTATAATTACTTTACAAAATATAATGTTTTATTTATTACTTTTGTTAATATGTATTATTTATTTATTTTTTAATTAATTATTATTAAATCTGTAAAGAAATTAATTAGAAATTATGGGAAAATATTTTATGGCGTTAAACATTTACAGCTTATAAAATTTATTAGCAATATAAAATAATATTTTATAATTATATTAACATTAATGAGTGACAAGTTATTATAATTGTGCCATAAAAATAATTATTTATATTTAAGATATAATTACAAGTAATATTTTGATTTAAAGACATTATAAAGTTTTTTAAATCAGTCGTTTTGGTGTGTGATTTATTACACACCAAAATAGACGTATTACAGAAATATTACAAGGGATTCATAACATAAATAGTGAAAAGTGGGTGTTACATTGTACAGTGGTATAATGTGCACCTCTGCCTACCCCTTCGGGGATAAAAGGCGTAATGTTATGGTGTGGTATGTGCATTTGAAATCCCTGTGCATAACATAACGTAGTTAGAACCAAGTAATATACTAATCAAACTCGGTTAATACCGGTAAGGTTTAATTCGAGTTCATTCTAGTTTGTATCTAGTATACAAATTACATACATATTGTACATTGTTAAGGCATGAGAAGGCTAGGCTTTTCATTCAATTCATAGAAATCAATAGATGCATACAATAATAGGTTACATATATTAAAATGAGGTACTAATATAGTTAATACCATTTTAAGCAGTAAATATTTCATCGTATTCTTCATTTTTATATAAAGAAGGAAAGTGGTTCGATGAGGATTTTGTAACATATAAAATTTTCTCAATATCGTATAGTAATATACGTCAGATTCATTTAATGGGCACTATAAACATAATATTACTTTCAATCTTCTTTAAGACTGCACGGATGGCGCGGTGTTCGCGGGTTCGATTCCTGCACGAAGCAACCCTTTGTGTAATCCACAAATTGTTGTTTCGAGTCTGGATGTCATTTGTATGTGGACTTGTTTGTTTGTAAACGCACCCACGATACAGGAGAAAATCCAAGGGTGGGGCAACGTATTAAAAAATATTCAAGCAAAGGTCAAATATAATTATAAATATTACTTTTAACTGGTTGTCTTATGAGTCCCACCCATGAAGTACTTAGAGAATGAGACTATTGCCACCATACGCCGTGAAATTTATTTCGTTTTCATACCGCGGCAAAATAACGAGCCATAAGGAATTATTTCGATGTATAAAGTAAAAACAAAAATATAAATACGTCACTCTTATAGTTTAAAAAAATCATGGAAATACGTACATGAAATATTAGACGTAAATTTGTAGGCGCTTTGCATCGCATGAGCCACTCAACGAGAAATACCTCTTCGAGAATAACATGGCGTGATGTTTTGATAAAGAAACTATGAGTTCGTATGCGCTTTCGAAGTCTGCTTTTTGCAATGGTTCACCAGTTATTTATTTTGTGTTTAGAACATTTTATTTCTTTATAAAACTATTGTATAAAATAATTGGGATGAAAACGATATAGATTTCACAGTGAACACTAATCACCAATTAGGACAGTACTTAGAATTAAAATAATGTTAATTTATTCGGCGGTATTTCCGAACCGATACAACCTTCAAACTTTCAAGAAAAGAGCGTACTCCTTTTTAAAAGGCTGGCAACGCACCTGTGACTCCTCTTGTGTTGCGGGTGTCTATGGGCGGCGCTGATCGCTTACCAGATGCGTACGCTCCTCCGCCTCTAATTCCAAAAAAATAAAATTTTGCAATATAATTTACTTATCTTCTATTTTACTTTATTATATTTAGTACTCATTATAATAGTACTAACACTTATTTTTATTTCCAGTATTCATAATACCGCAGAGGTATGTGTTGGCGGTGATGGCCTTATTGGCCGTAGCCAATGCGTATACTATGCGAGTTTGCCTCAACCTGGCTATCACTCAGATGGTTAAAAAAGTACAAACAGTACAAACTGGCGATGACTACGATCCTTTAATATGTAAGGACAGATACGTAACTGAGTCGAACGCTACTGAAGCCAGGGATTTCTACGTAGAAAGAGCTGATGATGTAAGTATAATTCATATTCTATTAAAGTATCATGGTGTTTGTTTAGATTTTCAGTATGTTTTATTATTAATGGATACCGAAAATCACCTTCCTATTTAGAGATTTCCTAATTCCTTTATTGATGATAAATTGATGGGATGATTACTTATTCTGGTTTCTTGGATAAAAGACAAAAGAAGATAATTTGAAAGATACTATGGTCTTCTAAAAGAATAATGCACTCGTTTATTCTTCTTCTGTTATAATTCTTCTTCTTTAGTACATCAATTGAAAGTGAGTTTAGCTTATCTCAACTTAGGATAAAAGTGAAGATATTATTGCGTATGATGGTATTCGTAGTCTCGGAAATGTCTAGGTCATTAATATATTATGTGATAACACAGTATAATTCCGTTTTCAACTTTAGCGACACCTGTGACTTTAGACACACCTTTCCACTTTTATTTTTAATAAAAAATATATCAATAAAATTAATTTATAGCGTGCTATAGTCGTTTTATAATCAAACTTATCGTGGAATATTTACAATTTATAATGCGTCTATATTGTTATTTAATCCGTCATTATTTTTATTATTATGTTTTCGGCTTACTAACGCAACTGTTTGATGGGGAACTCGACTAATTTCAAGCCATGTTTGAGGCTCATATTGTGACGCGCAAACTGTCGAAACTAGTCGAACTACTCGTCAAACAGTTACGTGAGCAAACTGAAAATATAATAATTAATTTATTATATCATACCTTCATTATTTATTAAATATAATTTAACATTTCTTGGTATGTACATATTTTTGAATTAGTGATTTTCAGTGTCATCAAAGGCAAATAAATTTTATTCGTCTTTGCTTTTCTAAATAAAAATCTACTTAAATAATAGGTACTTATAACAAACGACACATTTCTATAGGTGACAAAATATAATATATTTTTACTATCAAATCTTGTCGGACCAAGTTGTTATACAACTTTTAAACATGTTTTCAATATTTGTATAAAATAATAGATACTTACTAATAATACAAAGTCCGTGTTTATAGAGAACTTACACTTTAGCTTATTTTTGAGACTAAGATAAAGCGGAATATATTTTCGACTATACTAAATAATTACCGTCTTATAACTAAATAATAGGAATTATCCGAAATTAAAATATTTCTTATAGGAATTTATATATCTTTATTATATCTTTAAGGTAGACTTAAGAGTAAGTAAACTGACACATCTTCCCCTGGTTAGTTACAAATTCAATTTAATGAACTGCTGCATGCCTAGCACAATACCTATAAATACTTCCTTTTTATTTTGAAGTTCAAAACTCAACCCACATTGTATAAGCCTGCGGCTGTCCAGATGCCATTTAGCGCTTGTCTATATGTTGAATAGAATACGAAATTAGATGGAATTGACGAAAATTTTGACACTTGTCAGTGTCTTCCCCATACATTTAGTTTTCTACTCTCTCAGTAGACAAGCGCTAAAGTGGCATTTGGCTAAAGGCTCTGGTCATCAATGCTCAAACCTTCTGAGGTATTCGGTCAGCCGTGGCCACTTATAAGCTGTCGATGCGAATGATATGATGATAGGTGCTATCACCTAGTAACAAATATATTAAATATATAAATGAAGAACGTATAAAATTATTGTTCTAAGTGGTTATTCAATCAATTCAAGATCAAAACACGAACTAAAGTCAAATAACGATAAATCATTGCATGTCAATTCATCTAACATTTTAATATTATATCTTACATAAGTCTTTATTGCATTTTCCTCGTCAAATAATAACGATTGTAAATGAAACAACATCGTTAATTTTTTTATAAGGAAAAAACTAAAATCTATTATTTTTATTACTTTTCAAAACGTATTTTATTGTCATCCTAATAAGGTAGTAAATCAAAAACACGTGTTTGAAACGTGAGCTTATATTGTCTCAGCAAATAAGTAAAAAACTATTGGTTCATGTACAAAAACTATTTGGCTTTTGACCTTTTAGAGTTTTATTGTTTATTACTTAGCTCTGTTAGCGTGGGTTAGCACAATAATATTATGTGCTATATTTGTGAAATGGACTAAATCGTATAAAAATTCTTTAGTGTTAGATTAGATTCGAAATTATAGGGTGAGTGAGTTAGGTCTAACATTGAAATCTAAGTAGTGAAAAGTATTTACTTGAGTAAACCTAAATCTTATGAAAACTTTGCCTCAGCAATTTGAAATGACGTTGTGTAATTCTAACACATTAAAACTTTTTTGATTTATTTAATCGAAGTCCCTTTTTAGTGTATAATAAAAACAGATCAAAAACTCTTCTAATTTTTAAATGTTAAGTATGAAGTCTTTCTTGTTGAGGGGAGAAAATCATCCAACGACTGGAAAATGAAAATGAAATTCATTTATTTGTAAACATAGGTTTCATACTCTCCCGCCCGGGTGAGGCGAGAGTGAGTATCAGACTCTTACGGACTAAAAACCACCCCGTTCCTACTCCTGCATTTCGAACCAGAGCCCACCGCGGCAACCCGTTAAGTCCGTATTGGCATCAGCCCTATTGGGTCTGGCCCTATAAAGTTTGGAACTGAGTTTCTGTTAAATAATCTTCTCATGTGTTGTATGTCATGTCTTGTACAAAAAAAGCTATTATTGATTTTTTTATAACATTATTAATTTTGTAAAAATGTCTATATAAGAGCGGGGTCTCCTTACACAGGCATATCTTGCTTAAAAAGATTTCCCAAGCACGATCACCCAATGTAATCTAAAATTACAATAATAAAGAATTTCTATTTCATTTTTTCATGTAATAAAACCAGGGACACAATGAATAGCTTATAACCTAATTCATGAAAAGTAGACCAGTTATCTCTCATACCATGTGTACATACGTTGAAAAAACTGTAAAATTTACATCGTAATTCATTTTAATACAATAAGGAAATCCTATAACAATCAACGGATTGCCTTGTAGCTTAACCTTAAGACCGGGATTTACTTCCCATCTCACCATGCAATGAGATTAAACTGCGCAAAATATGACAATGGTTTTTATCTAAATACTTGGTAAATTGTCTCCTGATAGTGATACAGATGAAGTAGGAGATAAATCTTATTAGGTGTTAGTATTATCAGTCTTGTAGTTTTCCGCCGGCGGGTTTGTCCGCTTGAAATTTGCATTTATTTTTTTTAAAAAGTTCCTGAATAAAATACCTATAGGTACTTACCTTTGTTATTTTTCTTTTATATTGTGATATTTAGTTCAGGTTCTGTGTACGAGCCATAAACAATCTTTCCAACTCTTCGGAATTCGGGGTAAAAAGTAACTCCTTGAAACGTAACCTCTCCAATGGTTTATCCAGGCAAATAAACCTTCAAGAAAATATAGTATTCCTTTTTAAAACGCCGGCAACGCACCTGTGACTCCTCTGGTGCTGCGGGTGTCCATGGGCGGCGCTGATCGCTTACCATCAAGTGTTCCGTCTGCTCGATTGTATCCTATTCCATATAAAAAATAATCAAATGTATTGATGGTGAACAACATTTTAGTCAACCAATTTCCATTTAGTAATTTCTGAGCCTATCCAATGTTATCAAACAAACAATTTTCTCTTTGCAATATTGTGAAATATAAACAATAACTCAGTTTGGCATACCTACTAACTCAATATGTTTGTGTGAAATGATCTCGCGATGTTCTGAACCAAATTTGATACGGTTTTCAGAAAAATGCTTGGAGAAGGTTTTAGTACACCAAAAACTGACTTCAAAAAAGAGGGAGTTGAAGTCGGTTTTTTTAAACGTCGTTTATATAAGAATTATTATGCTGTTGATGTGAAAAAGATGACGAAATTGATGTTGAATAAGTTAATGACTAAGTGGTATAGGTAGATTTTTTAGACCTTTCCGTTTTATTACGCCTGTTTTAGGGCAAATAGACAATATTAATGAGAAATCCCAAACATAACCACAAAACCATCTGCAAATTCATTGATTAATGAACAATGAAATATAATAAGTAAATAAATAGGAAGGAAGCCATGCCAATCATAGGTCATAAGGTATCATGTGTACCTACCATTTATTTGATTTCAATCACATACTCAGAGAGCATATCGATTGGTTGTTGACAAGGAAATGAATCGCTAAAGACCTACAGAAGAACGTTTGTCAAAATATTCGTATAAAAATTCATGTCGCATGTTGCCATGAGGTCAAACGATAGGTCATTGCTCTTTTTATAAGCAGGTGCTGTAGAACAAGAGCAATTTGGTTGGAAAATTATTTGAGCGCAAATTAGTAGGTATGTACGATAAATCGTATTATTGATTAAGATTTTTTTGGTTGATATAAATAAAGTTTTAGGTAAATTACATTTCTTTCTCTAATAAATGTAGAACTAATACAGTTAACAGTATAAGTAATTTTCATCATAATATAATTATCTCCGTACAGGGTTTAAAATCTTTGTTTTTTTTAGAATTCCAAATAACATAACACCACGCCTTTTATCCCCTAAGGGGTTAGGCGCCGCGGGCTCCAGCTCGAAGTGCAGGAGTAGGAACGGGGTGGTTTTTAGTCAACGCGGGAGAAGTCAGTCAAAGTCAAAGCATTTATTTATATTTACATTAAAGAAGTAGTAACTTACTCATAGTTAACCCTTTTCATATAGAAAATACGTCAAAACATAGGTACGTACGTCAAAAGAGAAAATTATTCAGGTAATTGTGAAACTGACCCTAAGATCAATATAACAGGAAAATCTTAAATTACCTACATAGTTGTTTATCACCGTAAATACCAGTTTCTTCAGAATATTTAACTTGACTTTCCTGCTGGTAGAAAATTTCTTGACGGAAGGAAGAAAACATTAAATGAGACATAATGTTTATTGCAATTGGAATTGCAATTGCAGTCTTCATTATCATGACACTTTATTGGTGATAAAAACTATAGATTTATCTAACATCCATAGGCTTCAATAACATTTTTACTACTAGAAAATAATATGTGCAATATGACTACTAATAATAAAATGTTTACTGGTTAACTTGTTTGTCACCTTTTTACACAACTACACTTCAAATGTTGTTACTACTTACGTACAGATAGTAGTATAGGTGGATATGGGGTTTCCTGGGAAATTCACGCGGGTAGAACCGCGAGTAATTCTAGTTGAGTAATGCAAGAAATAACGCAATAGACCGAATACATTAGACATAAGAAGTAGACATAGAATGTAGTTTTACAGATATGTAGATTTGGTTTAAAGATAATATTATATGTTGTTGTCTATTATATTAAACTTTACAATGTATTGGGTTATTGTCACTCGCAACAATAATAATTATTATTTTATATACATAACTAAACGTCATAACATTATTTCCTAACAGGTTTATATCACTTAATATTATAGACAATATTATAGATATATAACAACTTTATATCACTTAATATTATAGATGGTTCATGAGATGAGTCTTTTGTCATTTATTTGTACTTATTATTATAATTTCTCCAAAGTTTATTGTTTTTAGCACATTGTTTCATGTCTAGCAAAAGTTATGTGACTTAATATCTTCAATCATTGTGAATATCTACGTAATAGTTAATTATAAAGAGGATTTATTGATCTTGCAACCACTTGACCAGAGACCCTGTAACTATCATAAATAGATACAGAAAGTCAATGTAATAAGGAATTAATATGTACTTCAATTTTATCAGTAAGTAGTCCATGATTCTGGAGTGCTCATAAGGGGTTGATTACAATAGAGGTCATAAATTATAATAGTCTTTCATCAGTGCAGTTGTAATATTAAAATTTATTATAAAATTATGAGCACCTTGATGATAACATTAAATAATAATAATAATAGATTACTGTAATATCGCAGTAGTAGCACGGAGTCTAGAACTGTGTCCGGTATATGGATAAAGATTCACACCCTATTACATGGGACTCATAACATAGATAGTGAAAAGTGGGTGTTACATTGTACGGTGGCATTATGAGCTGTAATGTGCGCCTCTGCCTACCCCTTTGAGGATGAAAGGCGTGATGTTATGTTATGTATATGTTACTTCATACTTTTGCTAAAAATAATGTTCTGTTCTGTACTTAAATAGGACAGAAGTTTTATTGAACTTTTATATGCTCTTAGAATAAATAAAAAGCCGATAGATTATGTGGGTTACTGGCCTTTAAGGGTGTGGGATATTTTTCCTCCCATAACATTCTTTCGATCTCTTTGCCTGGATTTTAGTGTTACATTGTGCTTGCACAATCCAAACAACAAAACTATGTAACTAGAAAATTGTATTGTGAACCTGATTGAAAAAGAGTAATCCATGTAGTTTCTTGCTTATTCTTCTCCATAGGAATCTAAACCTTGGAATGAGCAAATAGCTTCACCTTTAATTTTTTGTAGACGTTCAAAAGTGCTTTTCTGGTCTAATTGAAAAATGATGTTGACTTTGACTTTGACATACTTTTTTACCAGAATTTTGTCAACATTCTTTTAATTCTTTTTTCTCTTTCTACAGCCAATGCTGTTCGAATGGAGTGAAGCAACACAAGGATTGATTCTCGGTTCTTTCTACTATGGGTACATTCTGACCCACATTCCCGGAGGAATGTTGGCGGAAAGATTTGGAGGGAAATGGGTGTTGGGCTGTGGTCTCCTGTCCACTGCTATATGCACTTTTATAACTCCAATTACAGTCAAAATGGGAGGAGCCACGGCGTTGTTCATCTTGAGAGTCATTGAAGGTTTTGGTGAGGTAAGATTTTTTTTTATTACCATGAAGTTTGTGGAAATAATTATTTTTCAACCTAGTTACATAATAAATTTACTGTTGTTTTTTCTTTCTCATTTAATTTTATTTCTCAAAAATATCGAAAGCAGAAACTAAAAATGAGATGAATGAGAGACCACGTTATCAAAACATAGCAAACTTTACAATACTTTGTATATTCACAAATAATCATATTTATTTGAAGTCACCGAAATAAACAGATGATGATGGCTTTCTTAAATGTTTTGATATCATTCGGTAGATGATTTAATATTTGATTTAAATCTCCATATTATAATAAAAAAATGCTCATTAAATAACAAATGTACGTAAGCGAACTTCTTCAATGGTTCAGCATACAAGGATGTAACTACAAAATAATATTTACATCGTTTAGAAGTAAATCCCCAGCTTTAATTACGTGACGTAGGAAAATAATCCTAATTGCAAAGCGTTAAAGATACTTTTACTATAATGAATGTCCGGTTAATATACGCGGCTGATTGATTCAAAATGATATACGAGATTATACCTTATGGTTACCTCATTAACTCATATTCATTGCACTTCAACAATATTAGTTTTATAAGACTACTATACTAATGGTATTTAGTTTTTGTGATAAAAAATGTGTTATTAATTTTATATAATAAATCATTGTTGCATTAATGTATAGAAAGATTAATTTAGGATTCATTTAAAACCGTCTGTGGTTGTTTTGTTTTCCAAAATATTCCACAAAATTTGAGGTCAAAATTATTATACCAAGGATACAACTAGGAGATAAATGTTCTGCGGCACGAGTCGCCAGCGACGTTGGTTAAAGTAGCATGATGCTGCCTGACTTTGGTCGACATTTCTGGGAACATCAACGTCGCTATTGACAAAAGGCGCGCGTTGTCGCCTACTCGGGCAAAATCGACCGGCTTCGCTAGACATGTTGCCAATACATGTCGTGGGACATTAATGTCCTAGTGTATCCTTAGGTTTTGCTGATTTTCTTATTACTTTAAATGGAGTAGTTACACCAACAATTTTATTGCCATGTATATAGTACTAAATATATCAGTTATTGCCATTATTTTGACCTCATTACAAAGATTTTAATACCCAAATCTGTATTCTTAGGGTCCCACAATGCCAGCCCTAATGGCTATGCTGTCAAAATGGGCGCCAAAAGCAGAAAGAGCACGTATTGGAGCCATCGTCTTTGGTGGAGCACAGATTGGAAACATAGCTGGGTCATACTTCTCTGGTCTGATCATGCACAATGGAAGCTGGGAGAATGTGTTCTATATGTTTGGAGGACTTGGTTTAGCTTGGTTCGCTCTATGGGTAAGTAAATTTTTAAAACAATATTTGTATTAATAGAATTTCTTCGGTGATCTAACAAAACAGATAATTAGCTGATGATCTGCTCATATAGGTATTGCATTAGAATTTTACAAACTTAGATGCTGTACGAGTTTAATCGTTTCAAAACATTTGATAGATTTAACCCGTGGTATGCCGAAACGTATGTATAGGTACGCGGGACACAATGTGTTTTCTATTGTGTCTCTTATGCCGGCAGATAAGAGGTTAAGTATGTTACTGATTGGAATAACATTATAGAGTAACACTATAGTAATTTATCTAAGATTCCACTACTCCAAATTATTAAAAATATATAAACCCCGACTATTATAACTTTTGAAAACGAAAACTATAAAATCAAATTCACCAAACAACAATTCACAAATTATATTGCATTTAAATTATTCATTACTAGCTTCTGCCAGCGACTTCGTACGCGCAATCCCGATATTTCCCATTGCCGTTCTTGAGTTTCGGTAAAAAGTAAAAAAAAGAATTGGGTAAAAAGTATCCCATGCCCGTCTCCTGGTTCTAAGCTACCTCCCCACCAATTTTCATCCAAATCGATTTAGCCATTCTTGAGTTATAAATAGTGTAACTAACACGACTTTCTTTTATATACCTCTATATAGATAATAATTATTACAATTGCCAATATCAAATTACATGAAAAATAAAATAAACTTTTTAAAGTGTAGGTAATTGGCAATCGTATTGCGCTCGACAATATCTGTCGAGTTGTATTCGTTGTTAACTTTTTTCATCGATTCAGTTTCCAATTTGTTTCCAATGTAGCAGAGTTTTATTTTATTATATTGGACACTTTTTTGTTAGTCCACTACATGTTTTGCTTGTAAATTTTTTCGATTGTATCTAAAACGTTGCATTTTTGAGGAGGACAAGTTTAGATTGGTCTGTGTGTTCGAAACTGAGTGAGTTTTGTTAAAATGTAGAAATATGAAATGTTAAAATCATTTAAGTAAATATCGGAACTAAAATGTGCGTATGCTAAGTACATCGTTTGTAGTGCGATATGTAGATCATGGAGAGAATAGTAAGAATAAAAATTTTTGAATTTTTAATACAAAAAATAATGGAGTTTGATGTAGGATAGTTTGGAGAAAAAAAACAAAGATCCCACATAGTACTAATCACAAAACTCTATTTAAAAATAGAAACTTATCTAAACATTTTAAATCTTTACTTACATCCACTTATCAAACACTTCAAAAATGACAGGATAGTCTTTGATGAGATAAACTTGATTCTTAATAAAGGCTATACCCAATACTATGACAACAATTGCGTAGGTAACTACCTCTAATATTACTTCATTATGTGCAATCCTGCTCTTCTGCCTCGTTGGCCGAGTGGTCGCAAGTGCGACTGCCGGGCAAGGGACTTCGGGTTCGATTCCCGGGTCGCGCAAAGTATTACTGGGTTTTTTAAAATCTCAGTAGTAGCACGGAGTCTGGAAATGTGCCCGGTGTGGCAAAAGGCTCACCCCCTATTACATGTGACTCATAACATAAATAGTGAAAAGTGGGTTTTATTTTTTCATTATACAGTGGCATTAAGTGTCGTAATGTGTACCTCTGCCTACCCCTTCGGGAATAAAAGGCCTTTTCTCAAGGGAATGTTATGTTATGTGTAGGGATCTCAACGTTGGATTTATCTTACAAAAAGTCATCATACTCATTGTAGGTATTATTAATGCCTTTCTCTAATTTTTTTATCTTTTCTTCTAGTCGGTGTTATGCTACAGTACTCCAAACACACATCCCTTCATTTCTGACTCCGAGAAGAAGTTCTTGAATCAAAACGTAGATGCTCTAATCCACACTTACTCGAAGAAATTGGACCCAATCCCATGGAAGGCGTTACTCAGATCTGTGCCCCTTTGGGCCCTCATCATTGCCGGTGTAAGTAAACACATAAATTAAAATAGCCATTGTAACTATTAATAAATTTTATTGATGTATTGTCATGTCTTATAACACTTGTGTTATTTAGGTAAATATTAAAAATAAATAAAATATTCAAATGCAAATAGCAACCGTTTGACACTGATGTGTCGTTGTATAAAATATTTCCAAAGTTATGCTTATTTGTGGTGGACTAAACGTATTTTGGGAGAAAATTTTAAGATGTTTATGTAGTATTTAGTCGGTAATAATAAATTTATGTAGGAGAACTTAATATTTTTGTAACCTTGCTCTTGACTTCTTAAGTACATTGTCAGTTTTGGTATTTCCTATGATTAATTTGTAGAAACTTATTAACATATCCAATTTGTTTGTACAGTACAATGCTGACATTTGTGGTTTGCAAACAAAATGAGTAATAGTTTTAACATTTATCTTACATTGACGTCCGTAAAGCATATAAAAACTGATTGGTTTCAAAGAAATAACCACAAAGCATTATAACCAATTTAACATTGAAGGTGGTCAAAATTGGAACTAATAAATCTTGCAACAAATGTAGCATAGGAAAACAAATTTACAAAGAAACTAGCGACAGTGTTAATTGCACACTTACGTTGGTGGCACTACATATTGGAATGTTTACCATCAATTCCTTATAACACAGTTATCTATAACTGTTTGCATTGATTTTTTATCACCATATTACTCAATCGATTTCCGATAATATCGATTCGCCATGAACCATATAAAAAGTTGTGAAATTTTAAAAATAAATGTGTGATTTTTATCAACAGATCGGTCACGATTGGGGCTATTTCACAATGATCACAGACTTGCCTAAATACATGACTGATGTCCTGAAGTTCAACATCAAGTCTACTGGGATACTGTCTGCCTTGCCTTACGTTGCTATGTGGGTCGCCTCATTCTTCTTTGGTCTTCTCTGTGACTTCTGTGTCAAGAGAGGATACCACACCATTACCACCGCTAGGAAAATTTATACTACCATCGGTAAGTTGGAAACAGAAGAAAAGCTTTCTAAAAATCCCTATCTCAACAATACCACTTCTTTAAATTGTCATGTAAACAATTCAAGTGAGCTAAAACAGCGTTATCACTTGTTCTAGATTTTGTAAAATTGTTATGTAATGGCGATATATATTTTTGATCGAGTCCTTATATCACAATAAGAAATAGTTTTAATAGTTAAATAAAAGTAATTACTCCAAAATTTCCTTTGGTTTTCAGCTGCCACTGGTCCAGGTATCTGCATCATCATGGCCTCTTACTCCGGCTGTGACACAACCCTCGCTGTCTTCTGGTTCATATTCGCTATGACCCTCATGGGAGCCTACTACAGCGGTATGAAGATCAACCCTCTGGATATCACTCCAAACTATGCTGGAACAACCACTGCTATGGTTAACGGAATCGCTGCAGTTTCTGGCATCATATCACCATACCTCATAGGATTGCTGACGCCAGATGTAAGTTGATCAATTTTCCACTCTAATTTTTAAACTATACGGTGATTATTTGAACTGGCTCTGTAGTTGAAGCAAGATTTTCTAAAGACTATTTTGTCTAATGTTACGATGATTCTTTCTTAGTAGGTACCATCTACTATTCAATACATCTTAACGTCTCGTCAATATTGAATGATGCTACTGATACAAATTATTGTCCACCGTCTCATTTAAACAATCAACTTTAACTACTAGCAATAAATCACAAAGTTGAATAGCATCTGATCTCACAAGCTAGACGAGAGTAGATAATGAATGAGGAAAATTACATTCAATAAATATTATAAACAACTATTATTGTTACTAAATAGGAGACAGTTATGATTTATGAACACCTGTCTGAATGTTCATAACGACTATTTATTTACATTAAGATAGTCCCAATGGGACTGTACTTGGGTGGCATCTGTTGGAACTTTGAAATTATTCTTTATAGGTCCTAATTTCTTCATTAAAGTTGATTAAATATTTTGTGCTGATGGATAATCTAACCTAAGCACGTCTACATATATAGATTAAAACTTGGTTGCAATTACCTATCATTCATTTTTGATTTGAGATTATTAGGTATTTTTTTAATCTTGACTGACTTATTAAAAATACTCTTGATTTTCAATTAAATTGAAGTAAAAGTTAAAACGAAAAAGATGTGTAGGTCTAATTAGTTTTCAGCAATGCTATTTTAAAAGAACTAAAGGGTAAGGAGTTTCGGGAAGGTCATCAGAAAGGAAATTAGGATTACCAATAGGATTACTGATAACAGACTACTTGAATTAGTCATGCTTGTCAATTTTATCTTTGTATTGCACAAGAAAAACAAGATAGATTCGTAGATCTTACTGATATATCGTTTCACAACATTGTTATCTTAACTCTATCGGTTAGTCACTTCAGTCATTATGTCTTTATTTGTATTGCTTATTAGTTATTACTAATTACTAATATTTCCTCGAGCTTCATTGGTCGTATAGTCGCAATGTAACGACCGATGATATCCAATTAAAACTTATTAGTAGGTTTTTGGACTCGGTATGGAGCCTGAAATTGCTCGATGTATGTATTGATGACTGTACCTAAATACAGTATGTATGTACATTTTTTTACTTGCATACCTACTTAATAACTTGCTCGACTAAGTTGGTCATTTTTGTAAAGAAATTTGAAATGCCATAGTAGTAGAATTTATTTAATGGTAGAATTTAGGTTCGTGTTTTATACTGTACCTAAGTGCATGTCTTTTTACCTACTTCGTAGCTTAAAAAGCATGAAGTAAGTAATCTTAGGGATTATTTAAATGCGTCATACTCATAGCACGTGCTATATTGAGATGTCAAATTACTTTTAAGATTTTATCTTGAAATATAAGGCTTGAGGCTTACAAAATCTTGAAGTTTTTGAGATAAGTCGCTGATAAGATTACCTAGAATTTGTTTATTATTAAACTATTCTTCTTTATGGTTCTCATTGACATCTAATCCACCATCTGAAGTAGTCAGTTTTTAATGGTTTTGAAGTCTAAATTGTTGAGATAAAGTATGGGACTATTGTACACGTATTCGAATAATTTGAAAAGCGCGTCTTTTGTAACAAAAGAATAATGACAGATTTTGAGGAAATCGAAGCTGAAATTCACTTATCTCTTCTTTTCTCTTTTTAAAACAATCAGACTTAACCAGTAATAAATTATGGCCTATCAGAAATAAATAAAAATTACTATGTGGTCACTTATCATCAGTTAAATGTCCAGATACTACATAAGTATGATTTTAATCCTCTCTTTTCTTCTTTCACAGTCAACACTGACACAATGGCGAGTAGCATTCTGGGTGTGCTTGGGAGTGCTAGTCTTCACGAACGTAATCTACATCCTATTCGCAAAGGGAGAGCAATTATGGTGGGACGATGTCAAAACCCATGGGTATCCCGATGGCTGGAAACACGGCGACCTTCCCTCGAGACCAGTGGACTCAGAAGGAGAGAAAAAAGAGAAAAATGAAAAAGAGAAAATATAAAAATCGACTGTTAATGTAAATTAGATAACTGTAAATGTAATGCCTGTAAATATTGTGTTTAGGTTAATTTTTGTTATTTATGAATAAGATTATTTAATGACGTACTCGTTTGTTTTATTTTGTTATCTACCTGCATATGTTTGGCATTCTAGATAGAGGTAAACAAATAGAGTAATGACAAGGTCAATGAAATTGTTTCGTTAGAATGTCATCGAACCAAGGTTTTGTTGAATGTGAATTTTATTTTAACTATTTTGTCGCTAAATTTCGCCTTCAACATTCTATTATGAGGTACAAAAATTACATTAAATACTAATCTTATGAATAGGAGGCCACGGTATAGCAGGATTGCCATGGGTTGTTATGGTTTTTTCTATGGAATAAGCTGGTACACGACAAAACGGATCACCTGATGGTAAGCAGTCGACACCCGAAACACCAGAGGTGTAACAAGTGCGTTACCTGCCTTTTAGGGATTACGAATTTGAGGATTGTAGGGGATTGGGGAGATACGGTAACTTCACTTACATGACGAAACACTACGAAAGCGTTGTTTATATATATATATTAGATTGATGGGGATCCGGTAACTTCACTTACATGACGAAACACTACGAAAGCGTTGTTTCACGTCAGTTTTCTGTGAGGCCGTGCTATCACTCCGGTCGGGCTGGCCCATTCGTGCCGAAGTATGGCATTTCGGCACGAATAAGCCGCGGAATGCATGGCATAGTAGAGCATGGCTCTCCCACATTCACATTGAATTAATAACGAAATGTTGAGTGTGGACAAACTTGAAGATTCATCTATATCTCACAAATCACTTATAATAATGTAACAAACATACAACTTAAATATATAAGATATAAAAATGTGAAATAAAATTTATCTACTAATTAATATTCCGTAAAATCTTTGATTCAATAAAATTCTTTAGTCAAGCGTTTTAAGTTGATGTAAAAAAAAAAAAAATGCCCGTCTTCCTTCCGTTTTCTATAGGCATGAATTTATTTAGCATGGAGGTAAACGTTCAACGCCATCAGGGTCACCGGTGTCTAACGTTAGCAGAGTATTTACCTTCAACAGTTTTCTATTGGCAGTCAAAGACTTAAGTACTAGGCTTGTAGCCTCGTACTCACATTCTGAAAAGCAATTTTAAAGACCTTATCATTTGGTACTCCATTCATTCAATCATATCTAATATGACAAACTTATACACTGCATGTATTAATGTCTAATTAAAAAACTTAACTAAAATGTGACTATTTGACTGTCACGTGGTAGTGTCAGTCAAATACTTCGCCAGTGTCAGTCAAATACTTCGCCAGTGTCAGTCAAATACTTCGTCAGTGTCAGTCAAATACTTCGCCAGTGTCAGTCAAATACTTCGTCAGTGTCAGTCAAATACTTCGTCAGTGTCAGTCAAATACTTCGCCAGTGTCAGTCATTTCAATTAACAAGATTTTGCCCTCTAGCTTATCTATATAGTGATTGAGCGTAAAATAATTCTTCTACAAGCTTTCATCAGTCGCTACGCTATCATAAAATTATAATTATAATAAAATTTCACTTATCAATTTAAAGAAAGAAAGCTTTCTATGTGAAAAATAATAAATGAAATACTTGAGAAATGATTGAACCATTTAAGCCTCTAGCCCTCTAAAGCCCCTCTTAAGCCCTCTATAGCTATAGACTATAGATATCATCCCCATAGATTACCTAATTCAAGGGGATGATAAAACGATCTTGTTTCTTTTAAAGTTATTTTTAGTATGATCTAAGAGTTGCGAAATTTAACTTTAACAACAATACTTTAATGGAAATCTAGAACATAATTTATGATGCTTGCTTAATAGCCCAGTTCAAGAACACTGTACTGATGAGACATTTATACACCTTAGGAAATAACAAATAGTATTACAAATAGAAAAAAATAATTGATGAGGTACTAAACAAATCATCAATGTACTTTACTCTTTATTGTGCAAGTAATAAATTACCTTGAGTAACCAAGCAATTATTATTATTAAATAATTATTAATGAATACTGCTAATGAAGTAATTCAAAGAATAGTCACATAAAAAAGAAAATGGATTGAGTTTTATATTCTAGTTATTTTGGTGCAATTTTCATTAAAAGTGTATTTTGTGGGTATTTCAAAAAAAAAAAAACATAACTTTAGAGAATCAATAAGTCTAAACGATGCCTTAATACCTTATCTGAACATCTCCGTTCTTAAAAACCAGAAACAGATAGATGATTTTTGATAAAAGCATAAAAACAGGATGGTATTAAGTTTTGACGAATTTGTGTAGTAGTAGTAAACATTTAATTTTTTAAATTAAATATATACTAACAGTTTATATAAACTTTTGTGGGCAAAACTTACTACTGAGTGAAGCTCACTCAGCGTCAGTAGACGCAAAAGGAGAAGGCGGGACGGCAGATTGGCCTCAAAAAGCTTTACATAGAGAGGAGTGGAAAGAGGGTAGGGAGACCTTTGCCCTGCGGTGGGAGGATCATGGCTGAAAATAAAATAAGTAAATGTAAACATTTGGTGCATATCATAATTAGTAACTTGATTAATATAAATATACAAATTAGTATTGCCATGCACCTATAATATTTAACCCGTGACAATATAAAATAAATATTTTGACTTTTATTTCCTACGGATATGCCCCGGAAATATGCTATGGCCATAGGCTCACCTTTTATGATGGTACGTCTATATCTGGTGAGAATGCTGTTCGATAGAATTTTGTGAACTGCGTGCGTGAATTTACTTTAATCAAAAATCGCAAAGCAATAAAGGTTGCGCCCGTTTATGAACCATTATACATAACTGATTACCTACTAAATTGATGAAATGGGAATGTATTATTGGTTAACCTTTGCTTAACCCCTGGACAAATAATAAGATAAGCAAATCTGGGGGATATATGGGACATTAAGTCAAGTAAGTCAAGATAATGTCAACAAACAAAAAGTAAGTATGTTTTATTATTTTGCAGGGCATTACAACAAAATCCTTTTCTTGTTGTGTTCAAGACACACCCACAAAGGTGGCTTAGCTTTTGGAGAAAAAGATTAGGGAGAGTGTGCAATCACACTGTGACTTCACACTCTCCCTAATCTTGGTTTTTAACCATATAACATTTAATGGTATTTAAAAACGGGCGCGAGATGAAACCTCAGCAGCCCCACTTGGGTTTCTTGTTAAACAAAACCGTTACGGGTCCGCTCTATATCTGGGGCATTGAAATACCCCTGGGAATCAACCAACTCTGGAGGCATAACAATCCAACACCTGTTACATTACAATAAACACCTAAAACCTAGTCATCAAAGTACATAAAAGATCTAGTAAAGTTTTCATTCACATTTTCCTTCCTTTTAAAGTAAGCAGTCACATTTTGCTACGGAAGAATAAGATGCGAACCAGCACGTCTGCTTACCATATTCTTATGGACACGGGCACAGTTTCTACAAAGTTTTATTTAACTTCCAATATATGCATGTATGATTTGTGAAGCAAATAATTATTTATTGTCTTCAAGCAATTGAGCTGAAATAATCATAAATGTTTGGCTGTTGCAATGAACACTACCCAATTCAGTTGATGTGAAAGCTCAATTTCGTTACATTTTGATAAAATACTGAACTATGTACCTGGCGTTCTTTACGTTTATTTTAAGAGAGGAGGCCCAATTACCCCCCCCCCCAACTCCCTTTCCCCAATCCCTGAATCCCCAACAATCCTCAAATTCCTAATCCAATAGGCTGGTAACGCACTAGTAACGCCTCTGGTGTTCCAAGTGTCCATGGGCGACGCCGATTGCTTACCATCAGGTGATCCGTCTGCTAGTTTTCCGGCTTATGTCTGTCAATACCCATCGTTTAAAGATGAAGAGGCATAAGCATTTTCCAGATGAAACTAAAAAGCGTCCGTATTTTCCAAAATACCTAACCTATGCACGTGATAACAGCTAACAATAGGTATAAATCCTTACTAATATTATAAATCTGAAAGTGAATTTGTTTGTTTGTTTGTTTGTTCCACCTTCACGCCGTAACTACTCAACCGATTGCTTTGAATTTTTGCAGACGTAATTTAGAAGTCCGGATTAAATAATAGGGTCATTTTTAACCCGGAAAAACAAAAGTATTGGTATAGATGGCGCTGTGTGTATTGGTATATGTCACATAGGCTACTTTTTATTCTTTTGTGACGCGAGCGAAGCCGCGGGTAAAAGCTAGTAAAAGAATAAAACAATTGGCCCTCACACGACTTTGGTATTATCACAATACCTTACTTAACAAATTTTATTTATCTAAAAGATGTGATGAGTGCGCTTCTTATCAACTGATCTGTCAGATTGTGTTCCAAACACCGAGTGAACGTTGTCAATTCTGTCATCTCATAGTGTATTATGTGGCGTGTGCCTTGAAGTGTTACCCAAGTTGGATTTTTATATATCACGGATAGTTTGAATGCACATGATTCGGACAAAATGACTCTAACGGGATGGCGACGCGTTTTGAACAAAGGTTAGTAAATAATATACAAAATGTTTATAATAGGCATAAAATGAAAGTAAAGGGCTATATAATAGCATAATTATTTTTACTATGTTTGTATATTTATAATTCATTATTGGGTATTTCAGCTTGAGGTCTGAATCAGCAGTGTAATGATAGGTCTTCTGAAAGATATTTTTTTTTGTGAACTATATTCCCAATACTTATAATTTCAATTAAAAGCGGTAACATAATAATGTTTTTATGTGTTAGTGACTTATTTAATCCATGGTATGAGGGGGCGTAGATATATGCGTGACACAGTGATTTTTGAATTGTATTTTATACTGGTAATTCAGCGACGCGTCGCGTTCCGCGCGCGCTTCTAAGAGCCATCAGACCACCACAGATGGGGCCCAATAGGGCTGATGTCGATACGCAGCCGCTTAGAACTTAACGGGTTACCAGGGTTCCGGCTCGAAGTGCAGGAGTAGGAATGGGGTGGCTTTTAGTCAGTAAGAGTCTGATACTCCCTCCCGCCTCACCCAAGTGGAAGAAGGCATTCGATAATTTTCCTCAATTTAAAAAATACTGGTAATTGAAGAGGTTAATTAACTTTGAACTTACGTTAATAACTAAGGTACCCTCCAAAGTGCAATGTAAAATCGTAATTTGTACATATTTTTAGTTTTAATTAATCAATGAAAAGGCTTTCCTGTAAATCAAAGAGTGACGTAGATTACAGAAAGATACAAAATGAAAGAAAATATGTCATCGTTGCTGACATTAATGACATAATAAAATTTATTGACCATTAATTTTCTATAGTAATATTGTTATGACAATATTGAGTAATATTTAAATTTACGGCTTCAGCACTTGTCTCCGCGATTTCCCGTATTATGTAAATAGAGTAAGATCATGTTATGTTTATGTTATAGGTAGGTATCAGTTTAACCTTGAATTATAATCCTATATACTTATTGTTTTTATATGTACTAATATAAAGCTAAAAAGTTTGTTTCTTTGTTTGCTTGAGCGCGCTAATCTTCGAAACTACTAGCCCGAATTGAATAATCCTTTTGTGTTACATACACAATTAAATATTAATCGAGAAGGGCTATAAAATATCATAATAAATATGATTAATATGAGTCGAGCAGCCGGTGTAGCTAGTGTTCTTAAATAGTGAACAGATTCAATTTCCACGAGAAATAAATATTTACCGAAACTATTTATTTGTATAAACAGTAATCATTTTGTGAATAATAGAGTTCATGATTGTTAATAATAGTATTTAGAAGTTGTTAACAAAAAGACACTAGACTTATTTAAATAGTGGGCCTAATTGATTTATTTGGAGATTTATGCATTGCAACTTCTAGTTGTCTTGATTTTGATATTTTATTTCTTAGTTTGTGTGCATTGATTAGTAAGATTATTAACCTTTTGACTGCCGGTATAATTATGTATAAGACACAATAAAAAATATATTATTATGTTTTCGGCTTATTCACGTAATTATTTGACGAGGAACTCGACTAGTTTCAATCCATACTATAGGCTTATATTCATGAGCAGCATTTCGCGACCCGTGACGCGGCGACTGTCTCGCTGCTACTGTTACGTGAGTTAGCCGAAAACATAATAATATATTTAGTATGTCTCACGAAAGTTATAATACAAATTAAAATATACTTTATCTCGCTTAGATCTCAGTTCCAGCTACCAGGGATTAATTTTGGCCGTAAGCGTACTGTGACACATGCTCCAACATAGCATGCTAAAAGCTTCTATGAAGCATGCTCAAAAATATTCAAAAATCGAACGCCTGTCGATTTGCAAGCGTGCTCGAAATGAGCATGCCAACTGTGCTTCTAAGTGACAAATGCTCAATTAAAGCATGCTTTTGTGCTTGAAATTAGCATGCGTAGCAGTACCTTGAGTAATTAAACCTAATTACGTGTTATAAGTACCTACATACACGATATACAATAATATTGTAGGTATATAGAGCATGACATTTTATTGTGTAACACAGATATATATCATAGATTTATCTATTGAAAGACAGATACTGAAATATCTGTAAATCAAAGGCGTAGGTAAAGATTAGAGATAGACTTCATAACACTAGATAAAATCGAAAAAGTACTGAATCATGCTTTTCAAAATTTTAGGTGATGAAATATGACATTTTTTTAAGTACCTTTGTAGGTACGTACAATAGTGTCTGTCAGGTGTTGTTGAAGGGTTAATACAGGGTGGCCAGTTTAGTTAGAAATTATAACATAACACCTACTTTTCACTATTTATGTTATTAGTCCAATGTAATAGGGGGTGAGCCTATTGCCATATACCGGGCACAATTCCAGACTCCGTGCTACTACTGAAACATTTTAAAAAACCCAGTAATACTTTGCCCGACCCGGGAATCGAACTCGAGACTCCTTGCCAGGCAGTCGTACTTGCGACCACTCGGCCAACGAGGCAGTAAGAGATAGTGTAAGTAAAATAAAATAAAAATGACATTTGCAATTGTAAATACTACGGTACTCTTCTTCAAGTTAAAACATAAATATTTTTTTGAAACGATGTCCACAGTTCACACTTAAATATATTTTTTTAAGTCTTGTTGGTAACAGTAGGAAAACTAAAGCGATTTACTTTAGGTAAAAAAATCATTTTGTCGAGGGAAAGTACCAATTTGTTACCTACCGATACTGTCGTCAGCGATATTTGTCCTGGTATATTCCATTCAATTTTTGCGACTGACATTGCGGTTACACCTTTAAGTGGTCAAGGAAAACAAAACAATTATAGTAATGTCTACTTTCTTCCTTTAGGCACATAAACAAGTTAATCATTACATGACGCAAAAGCTTGAGGAAATCAGATGATCAGGTATTTTAGAAAACGGGCATTTAACTGTAAAAAATACTGGATTTTACAGATTGCTGCTGTTACATTTTGTCCTCGGTTATACGTAGTTTCTATACCAGGAAAAAAATATAGTAATAGGCGTAGTCAGTGTTCTTTATTTTAACCCGCTGAGAATGAAAAAATCTGGTACTAAACCGATTAACTAAAATTTAAATATATTAACTATTAATATTTGCTTAATCACCTACCATTTTCATCTCTGCACTACTTAAAGGTCGACTGTAAGACAATACTCAAGGCACTAAGTCCACCTGTGGGTGTGTTTTTGTACTAAGTCTAAATAAATAAAATAAAAATATACAAACCAAATCTACACAGAAATATATAGATAAATTCTCTTATTCCTGATATAAAAAAGACTCACCCACCAAAGAATAGAATATTTATCTACAAATAATTTAATGTACAAAGCTTACTAAAAAAATTGAGATATGGTAATAGATGTGTGTTAAGGTATTGATTTCTGGATATTTACGAAAATTTGGTATAATATTTAAACCGTACAATCTCGCTAAACATATTATATTGGGTTGTTTCGGTAGGTATTGATCCCACGGAAGACTGTGACGGTGCCGCCGTACCCATCAAGGCTTAAAGGAGACACCCGTCTCTCTAGGGATGTGTCGTAACAGCCGTCAAACCATGGAGGCTCCGGAACTGGTCTCTTTTAGATGACCCGGTGCCTCCATTCAGGTGTTGAGGGTGGCCACCGGGGTGGTTTTAGTGAGGTAAAAATCCCGAACTCGCTAGTCTTTATCCCCAAAAAGCTAGGCAGCTATTAAAGGTTTCGCCCCGTCATAAAAAAAAGGGTATTGATCCCAGCCATCACCCCTTACAGTATGATGCTCTATTTACTGGCTACCGTCCCTGTACATAGGTATATAATTATAATACCCACTCATAAGACAGGTAGGAAGTCAAATAAATTAAAATATTAGAAAAACAATAAATTAATTAGACCTATAAAAATAAATAATAAATTGAATACAGAAGACTGCCTCGTTGGCCTAGTGGCCGCCAGTGGCCGCCACTGCCGGCAAGGGGTCTCGAGTTCGATTCCCGGGTCGGGCCAAAGTATTACTGGATATTTACAAATTCTCAGTAGTAGCACGGAGTCTGGAATTGTGCCCGGTATATGGCAATAGACTCACCCTTTATTCCATGGGACTCATAACATGAATAGTGAAAAGTGGGTGTTACATTGTACAGTGGCATAATGTGCACCTCTGCTAACCCCTTCGGGGATACAAGGCGTGATGTTATTTTAAATTAATTATTAGAAGTAGTTAATTGCAAAACAAGAAAAAAGAGTCGAGTAAGAAACATTAATTTATGTTAGTAGTCACAAATAGCTGTCGACAGCAACTACTGATAAATTCATAAGTTTCATTATATTAATTTATTTATTTAACACTTTATATACCTACAATTATTACAAGGGTGGACTTTATGCTGCTTGTCATTCTGTACAAGTTCATCGCAGCATTTAGCAGTACAATAATAATTCCTTATCATTCTAAACTAATTATTTCCAGTGATGATCATACCTCAGCGCTATGTCCTCGGTATCATGGGACTGTTCGCGCTGGGGAACTCCTTCACGATGAGGGTCTGCCTCAGCATGACCATCACACAGATGGTGCTCCACGCGGAGACTAGTGAACACATCATCGGAGAAACCTGCCCAGACCCAAATAGTGTCATCTCTAATTCCACTGATGATGAGAATAATACTGTGTCTGTGATATTTACGGTAAGAATTTTCTTTTATTGACAACAATAAGCCTATAAAATATTTTAAATACTTGCGTACAATCCTATGTTTTTACTAAGAGATTCACTAAGTTAATGATTTTATTAGACAGCAAAAGCTCAACGTTTCATTTCCAATTCAAATCAAAAAATAATGTTGATTATTATAAATTATTATGTTTTCGGCTTACTCGCGTAATAATTTGACGAGGAACTCGACTAGTTTCAAGCCATGCTAGAGACTCATATTCATGAGCAGTGCGAACCGCGATTTGATTATTATAATCCTTTCAAAACTATGTGTGAAAGACGTTTTCACATTGTTAAAACTAACCTAACATAAAAAAAGGAATTTATCCTTAAACTGTCAAACACCAAGCGGTCACCGGTGATCGCGACCTATTGTTCTTTAATTGTGTCTATAAAACCGGTACTCGACGAGTTAAGGCAAAAAATTTTGTCTTTTAATATATTTGACGACAATCTGCTCCTTCTTTGTGCATCATTTGTAACTTCGTGTGTACCTATAAACTTCTTCGCAAATAATCGTACAAGAATTCCAAAGCTCTTCAAGACCCACATTACCTACCGTTAGTAGATAGGTTCTTTACGTTTAGTAGGTATAGGTACCTACCTATTTGCATCACTCAAAGTCAAGTGACTTTATCTTAGCGCCCAATGTTGGTAGATTTATATCGATATGCATATCATATAAAAACGTATCTATATTTTGTGGCACGTGTTGTGAATTTTAGATATTTTTTCGTTTAATCTGCCATTTTCAAGTACACGATAAGTTATGAAAAGGTAGGTTACCTACTGAGGTATATACAGCGACACATCAAATTGTCAGTTGACTGCCTCGTTGGCCGAGTGGTCGCAAGTGCGACCGCCGGGCAAGGGGTCTCGGGTTCAATACCCGGGTCGGGCAAAGTATTACTGGGTTTTTAAAAAAATCTCAGTAGGAACACGGAGTCTGGAATTGTGCCCGGTATATGGCAATAGGCTCACCCCCAATTACATAGGACTCATAACATAAATAGTGAAAAGTGGGTTTTACATTGTACAGTGGCATAATGTGCACCTTTGCCTATCCCTTCGGGGATAAAAGGCGTGATGTTATGTTATGTTATGTTACATCAAATTGTACAAGACCATTTTATCCTGCTCTAACTTTGTATGATCTTTCTGTACATTCAACGGTCAGTTTGCACTGGTAGTTTAACCTGTAGACCTAGTAAGGTACTTTAACCATATCGTTCAAAGTTCATACCTTTGTTTAACTCGTTGAGTACCGTCATTACAGACACAATTAAAGAACAATAGGTTGCGGTCACCGGTAGCTGCTCGGTGTTTGACAGTTTAAAGTCTAAAAAATGCGATCAAAGTCCGTCATGATAAATATTATGGAAAAGCTTATGGTGACATAAAATTTCGAGAGCGTGGAATATTTTCAAGAGCCGAGTATTGCAGTCATTATTCTTATTTAATCCAAGTAAAATACCGGCTCTTGTCACATACCTATTTATTTGAGGATTTTGTTAATTTATGACAAGCGTTACTGAAGGATTCTGCTATGTGTTTTTGGGTGAAAAATTATTGATGGTGTTGCTTACATGAAAACAGCTGTTCATTTTTCACGACAGTACCAATGTAATAATACACCGTGAAATTTATTCGTTTTCGTCCCGTGGCAAAACTAATTGCCATAAGGAATACTTTCGATGTATAAGGTAGAAACAAAAAAATAAACATGTCATTTTTAGTTTAAAATAAATATTCATTGAAATACGCACATGAAACACTAGACGTAAATTTTTAGGCACTATTCGCATCGCGCGTGCCACACTGCCACCCACCGAGAATTACATGGTTTGATAATGTAGTTATTACGAGTTCCTGTGCGTTTTCGAAGTTTGCTAGTGGCAATGGTTCATCAGTTATTTATTTTTTTGTTTTAAATATCTTAATTCTTAATAAAGTTACCTATTGTTTTACTAAGACCCGTTTTTTTTTTCGAGACGAAATCGAAATAGATTTCATGGTGTATAGGCAAAATAATTTAGGCGTTACTTTGCGGAAATCCATGCTGTATGTCAGTGTAGGTGAAATAATCAACATTAACAGCTTGTGATACTTCTCTGCTAACCTATAATGTCTCTACAGGAAAACACGCCTCATGAAAATACACGAATCTCTGCTTACCTATTAGCCCTCTTTACAGGCAAATTAAGCCTCTTGTGAAGAAGAAAACCCAACTATCTATTCATTCAGAAGCAAACAATACTCGTACTACAATAAACTACTTATTTGTGTTTCATAAAATTACTTAACATTTTTCCATTGCAATCACGTGTTGTGAAATCTCTAACAAACAAGAGGTTATTTCCTTTTTCACACAACAGTATTTAATTAAAAAAAGATGACGTCATTGTGATTATTTATCTTCAGGGTCGAGATCGTTACGACTGGGATGAGGCAACTCAAGGATTCCTCCTAAGTGCATTCTATTATGGTTATGTGGCTACCCATCTACCTGGTGGTCTGTTGGCTGAGAAGTTCGGAGGAAAATGGACTGTTGGCCTAGGCCTTTTGTTGACTTCTGTGGCAACTGTTCTTACTCCTTGGGCTGTGTCGGTTGGTGGAGCGGTTGGCTTGTTCATCATCAGAGTCATTGAAGGATTTGGAGAGGTATGTTGTAATAATGTTTTATTTAACTTTCTTGTTCTAAGATATTGAGGTACAATTTGACGGGTTTGATTGTATTTTTCACTTCCAAACTTATATGGCAATAGGCTCATCTCTCATAAATAGTGAAGAGTAGGTGTTACATTGTAGAGGTACAGTGGCATTAAGTGCCGTAATGTGCACCTCTGCCTATCCCTTCGAGGAAAAAGTAGTGATGTTGTGTTTATTAAAAATCACAAGAAACATATTTGTTTGACTTAATTTATTGCAATTTGTAAAAACGTTCAAGTATTTTACGTTTGCTTTTAATTCTGTGTTATGTTCTTAATATAAACAAATGTGTCTGCAGGGTCCTGTAACACCAGCATTTGTCCTACTACTTGCAAGATGGGCCCCACCAGCAGAAAGATCCCGTTTTGGAGCAATGATATTCGGAGGGGCTCAAGTTGGAAATATTTTCGGCCCATACATCTCTGGACTCCTTTTAGCAAATGGCGGAGACTGGGCAAACGTATTTTATGTATTCGGTGGACTTGGAATTGTATGGTTCATATTTTGGGTAAGGTTTTATTGAACATGTTTCAAGTTTATTGCCTAAAATTTTATTGGTAACAGTAAAATGTGTCGTGGACATGTGATTTACTGATGTAGGTAAAAAAATGTCGTAAAAATCTGTCAATATTGCTGAATTTACGTACATATTGAAATAGACTGTGGCAAAAGTCTATAATAGGCTTCGTGAAAGATAATACTAAGCCACAATTAAAAAGTTAAGGAAGATACATTTGTGATACATTGTCTCAATTAATAAAAACCAGAACACAGTTAAAGCAATAAAAAACACATATAACAATAAATACTTGTTATCTTTCCAGGTCCTGCTATGCTACAGTACTCCAAATTCCCATCCATTTATCTCGGAAGAAGAAAAGAACTTTTTGAACAAAAATATTACAGCTTCTGGTTTACATAAGAAACTGGACCCAGTGCCATTCAAAGCACTCTTACGATCTGCTCCCTTGTGGGTCCTAATATTGGCTGCCGTAAGTGCTTTTATATTTATATTGCCTGTAATAATTTTATGACATATCTAAGAACGATATCTATAATAATACGTCCATACGGCTTAATATTAAGCCTTTTGATCTTTGAAGGGGTAGACACTAGGAGTAGGATACACCTTGAACTCTATTTCATTTTCATCCCACGGCATAACAATTTGCCCTAAGGAATACTTTCGATGCATAAAGTAAAAAAAATACAGATGCCATTTTATTTTTTACAAAAATAAATCATGGCAATACGCACATAAAATACTAGACGTAAATTTGTAGGCACTATTCGCTTCGCACGTGCCACCCGGCTGGAAATACCTTTTCGAGAATTACATGGCGTGATGTTTTGATAATATACTATGAGTTCGTATGCGCTTTCGAAGTTTGCTTTTTGCAATGGTTTTTGTTTCCTTCGGGACGAAAACGAAATAGATTTCATGGGGTATTTTTTTATGGCATAAGCCAGTAAACGAGCAGACGGATCACCTGATGGTAAGCAATCGGCGTCGCCCATGTACACCTGGAACACCAGAGGCGTTACAAGTGCGTTACCGGCCTTTTGGGGATTAGGAGTTTGAGGATCGTTGGGGATTAGGGTATGAGGGTAATTGGGCCTCCGGTAACCTCACTCACTAGATGAAACACAACGCAAGCGTTGCTCAACGTCGGTTTTCTCTGAGGCCGTGGTATCACTCCGGTCGAGCCGGCCCATTCGTGCCGAAGCATGGCTCTCCCACATTTATATAAACAATTTACTTTTTACCACTTAAGAATCCCATGTTATAGGTGAGTATTTTGAGAACAAAAACAACATAAAGTATTTTTTTTTGTATTTGATGGTGCGACGTTTGACCACTATCTCGCCTGGTGGTAAGCGATGATGCGGTCTATATATCTAAATATAAAAAAAGAGAACACATTTTTTTTGCATTTTTCTGAACAATTCTTTTCTTTCCATTCCACAGGTAGGCCACGACTGGGGATACTTCACGATGATTACGGACCTCCCGAAGTATTTCTCCGATGTATTGAAGTTCAATATCAAAGAAACGGGTTTGATGTCGGCCTTGCCGTACATTGCTATGTATATTTGCTCCTTCATATTTGCTGGGCTATGTGACTTATGTGTCAAGAAGAAATGGCATAGTATTGGCACTGGCAGGAAAATTTATACAACTGTTTGTAAGTATGAGTCACTGTTTCTCTCTTAGCTTTTTATAAACAAAATTCGTAAACAAATTAAAACAATTTACGACACCCGGATAAACGTCTGCAGAATTAGCAAAGAGTATTGGTTCCCATATGTTAAAAATACAAAAATAATTTTAGGAAACACAGCCTAACCTTTTCGAGGTCGGTTCGCACTACAGTAAGTTCGTCACGACCCTCTCAACATTAATATTACCGTCACAACCTATTTTTACCAATTTATCCTCTAAAAACATCAATAATTCAGAGCAAAAACGTCAGCTACTAATTAAATTCCATGGCAGCAACCACTTAGTGATAATAAGGTCGCTTTTTCCATCACAGCGTCTACCATTCCGGCAATCTTCATTATTCTGGCCTCGTACTCCGGCTGCAATCGCCTTTGGGCCGTCGGCTTATTCATAGCCTCGATGGCGTTCATGGGGGGCTTCTACAGCAGCGTCAAGATCAATGCCATGGATATCGCTCCCAATTACGCTGGTACTTGCTCTGCTTTCGTCAATGGGATTGCTGCCATATCAGGCATCATTACACCGTATTTGATCGGATTGTTGACTCCAGATGTAAGTATAGTTTTATGATCACTATAGTTCTTAACTGTTAGCCAAAGTTTATATTCGCCTGATTAAAATCAATTTAACTTATTTTGCAAACATACAACTTCACTTAGATGATGTTCACCAGAATAGAACATTATTATGACAAGATATAAGATAAACGCGTTTGATTACAATCTAATATACTTGTATCTAGTTAGTGATAATGTAATCAGTGTTAATACACTACAACCAATTAAGCAATGCGAGGAGATTAATTTATCTGTCATGATATAGATTCACTTGATTAGGTCTCGAAGATATCTCTCCTTTTCTCTCTCTCAAGATATGTATATAACTAGAGGTATAATTACACTGCGCATTGTTTCAAAATATGCAACGGATCATCGACCGGAATGTAGATGTTTACAACACACCCCTTTTAGCAATTTAACTATTACTAATATCCAAATACAAAATTGCCACTCAACTTTAAGACGCGCTTGAGTATAGTTCTGTGTCATATTCTTTGTAAAATTACAGAGATAGCACAATATTTAAATACAACTTAGAATTGAGTAATCTTTCAATATTTGGGCGTAACATGAGAACATAATTATAATATATTCGTATTGAGAATTTCGGAATTAAAAACTCCAGTCAATAGATATTACTTTGGAGATCGCTTGCTCAGCGATAATTCTTAGAACTACATGAACCAACTAAACTACAAAAAATCTAACACCACAGTCAATGACCAATAAAGTATTTGTAATTACACATCAATTCGAATAAAGAGAAGAAATTGAACAATCAGTTTAATGACAAAGTATTAAAAGTCTGAAGTATTTTATTACCAAACAAAGTGTTGGTCGTGAAACCGATTTAATACTTTTTTCAAAGAGTTAAGGAAGGGTATCACGCTTGACCGCTTGCGAATATCGGAATAAATTAACTGAAGCGAAGGATTGTCATATTTTTTGGACACCGTTTTTAGGCAATATTGTCTTCCTTAAACAAACTTTGTTGCTATGGTCGTCGATGTGATCGGGGAATATTTTTTTATGCTTCAATCCTAAGTGTTAAAAGGGTGACCTTTTAGAAGGACAACGACCAGTATTAAGCGAAAGACTGAAAGACAATATATTTTTAAGATTAATTTCTACAGTAATTGATAAATAAACACCTTTCCGATATCGAATGATCCAATATTGAGCACTCAATAAGAAATTCTACCAAAAAAATAAAAATAGTACCAACTATTTTTTTACATTATATTTTTTTCTTTTACAGCAAACAGTTGGACAATGGCGCATAGCATTTTGGACCGTATTTGCAGTGTTGGTAGGAACCAATCTCGTTTACGTTATCTGGGGTTCAGGAGAGCCGCAATGGTGGGATGACGTGGACAAATATGGATACCCACCTAATTGGAAACATGGACCGTTGAAGAAACGAGCAGTTGATGGAGAGAAGAAAGTGGTATACCCTAAACATGACCACTCGCCTGTAGCAAATGATTGATTTATTAGAAATATTTATATTAAATATTTATAATTTTTTAATGATTGTGTTTTTTTTTTGGTCACCGTTGTTGGAATATTATAAAGTTGTTAAATATTTTTTAAAGTTTTAACAAGTCTCTGATAATTGAAAAAAATATACAAAATAGACTTTAAACTACTGGGATGAAATACTGATAATCTATATATATATAAATAAATCCGTTTTCCATTGTCACACCATAAATTTTGAACGGCTAGACCGATTTGGCTGTTATTTTTTGTTGTGTTTGTTATCGTCAGGAGAAGGTTCTTACTTCTTATGACAGAAAAAGGTCCTTAATATACTACAGGAATGGGACAAACGGGATTTAGTGTACGAAGTCGCGGGCAGAAGCTAGTAGTAAATAGTAAATAATAGTAAAAATTATGAAATAAAAACCAACCAATCAAAAGATTCTACATCACTAATAATTGTTCATTTGTAAAGCTAAACCTTACATAAATTATAACAATTTCACACAATAAAATCAATTTATTAGACGGGACATCTTCATAAATTCACACAAATCTATTCATTATAATAATTAGACATAAAGTTAATAATAGCATGCACTCCTCACGTGTAAGAACACCATACTTTTAATCAGTTTCAAGCACGTGAATCGATGCACCTACAATATATAAGAAGGCATTAATGTACTGACACCTGACAAAAACCTGAATAAGAATTAGCATTCACGTTTCTTGATATTAAAACCTTATTATATCTTGCAATAATAAACGAAGAATATTGGTAAACATAATAATATTATACTGTCGCAAGTACGACTGCCGAGCAAGGGGTCTCGGGTTCGATTCCCGGGTCAGGCAAAGTACTACTGAGTTTTTATAAATTCTCAGTAGTGGCACGGAGTCTGGAATTGTGCCCGGTATGTGGCAATAATATCACCCCCTATTCCATGGGACTCATAACATAAATAGTGAAAAGTGGGTGTTACATTGTACAGTGGCATAATGTACACCTCTGCCTACCCCTTCGGGGATAAAAGGCGTGATGTTATGTTATGTATCATAAATAATATTAACCTCCTCTCATTGAAAATTGTAGTAACTTCTCAGGAGTTATAGAGTTAGTGTTAGAATTCCTCAGTACAGAATTAGTGTTGGGTTGCGCTAGCGCCATCTATACGATTAATGACAAACTTTTTAAGACAGAGGCCTTCTACTCTGTCTTAATTACGCAAGTAGGTACTTGATTATACATTTTAAGCAAAATCATAGACGTCATCAAGCATGTTATATTATTTATTATATTGTTTCATTTTAGAAAATCTGTCTTAATTTCTGCTAGGTATACCTACCTATATCATATAATAATTTGCATATATTTATGTAAAATTCCTCTAAAGTTATATTTTTAAATAATACAATATAAAAAATTATATTTGAAAATATAAAAATAGGACCGGACCAGTAGTGGGAGCATGATCCAAGCTACCGGTGATTAGGACTCCAGAGACAGAAACCTCCTCAAGATGCCGTTTCAAGGAGAACTGCCTTCTGTATCAGGCCCATGACCCAACTGCCTAACGCTAGCCTCCTGAGGTGGTTGTCGAGGCTATTAGGGATTAACCCATTGGCCGACACGACTATCGGCACAATGATAGTCGAATCTACATTCCACAACATCGTGAGCCAAATCAAGATATTTGATTTGTTTATCTTTACTTATTAATTATTGTTAACTTACAAATTGCAAATTGTGGTTTTGTTTAAATTAATATAGATAACCTGTTTTAATTGATGTTTTTTTCCCGAAATCATCACGAAATAATGTATCATGAATAAAAATTAACAAAATAGCAACATTGTACTCGCAAGGGAAAACACAAAAGTAAGTGAGCAACCAGTTACACAGCTGTGATTGGTTTTATTTTTCTCTAAGGAAACACTAAGCAGGTAGGTATAGTAGCTTCCGTTACATCGTAAATTAGAGGTATAGTAGCTTCAAATATCTGATTTGTAAACTGAAAAAATATATTTCAGGCGTAATGCGAAATTTTATACTTTGCTAAATACTTATAAGTACGCTATCAGATTATTTTAAACACAGTATTCATTTCAGTACCTAATATTTGGATAAAAACCTCATTTAAAATTTGAATGAAAACTCATCAATAGGGCTGTGTACTCAACTGCGGATTAGTTTCCTTGAGCTGGGCAATTGAAGGATAAGTTGTAAGGAGTGGGTAAATAATTACAATTAAAAATTATAATTAAAAATAGCTTTATAATTTGTTGGTGTTTTTATTTATTTTGAAGGAATATTGTTAAGGAACTGCCTCGTTGGCTGAGTCGTCGCAACTGCGACTGCCGGGCAAGAGGTCTCGGGTTCGATTCCCGGGGCGGGCAAAATATTATAGAGGTTAAAAAAAATCTCAGTAGTAGCACGTAGTCTGGATTTATGCCCGATATATGATAGGCTCACCACGTATTATATGGGACTCACAACATAAATAGTGAAAAGTGGGTGTTATATTGTACAGTGGCATTAAGTGCCGCAATGTGAACCTCTGCTTACCGTCATGTTATGTTATGTTACGTATTGTTAAAGAAAACGCCGATAAAGTAAACTTGTTTCTAACATTTTGAGCCATTACCCGACAATAAAAATTACCTATTAGATTAAACACTATAGCAATAGATAACTCGTTACTAATTACAGAATGGACTAGAAAGATTATAAAAAAAACAAAGTTTTCTTACGACAAAACTTATTTTTGTTTATGATACATACTCATTTAATTAAGAGTCCTAACTTGCTGTTTAAATTCTACCAGTTATGCGCCCATCTCTTACAAAATTCTTTCCTTTAAAGATTACACTTAACAATACAAAGTCATTTTTCTATTCACACTTGATATCTCCGCGAGGCAGGCCCGCTCCATCCATCCAACAACTTCCTTACATTTACATTTTGTTCAAAATAAATTCTATATTTTGTAAAAGAACATGCCTTAGGGTTTTGAGACAATTTTAAGGACCAGAGCTTCGGTGTCAAAACACAACGCGTCGTGTGAAAAGTAATGGTGAATGAGTTCGTGATTATTATCGAAAACTTTGAAGTATGTAATTATAATGAAAATAATTAGAAAACTATATTATTTGCAACTATTAAATAATACCAAACCCACATTAAAAGTAGCATTGTATGTTATGTTTGTATTTCCTAAATAATGATTACAAAGTATACATAACATAACATCACGCCTTTTATCCCTGAAGGGGTAGGCAGAGGTGCACATTACACTATTGAATGTCACTGCCCAATGTAACACCCACGTTACACTATTTGTGTTATGAGTCCCATGTAATACGTGGTGAGCCTATCATATCGGGCACAAATAAATGATCAATAGCCTGAGCCTATCGCCATATACCGGGTAAAATTCCAGACTCCGTGCTACCACTGGGATTCATTAAAAAACCCATTATTACTTTCCACGACTTGGGAATTGAACCCGAGATCCCTTGCCCGGCAGTCTCACTTGCGATCAGTCGGCCAACCAAACAGTCAACAAACTATAGTACTTATATTTTGGAAAAAATATATTTATAGTATGCCACTATTGGTTTAGATTTTACAAATTCACATTAGGTATTTCTTAATTCAATATGCAAAGCAAAGGTAGCTTTGTTCAGTAAGTTGACTATTAGCCATTCACTCTCATAATCCAACGAGATGGCAATTTGACACGACCGGTGATAGGTCAGTCATGGATCCTATAGGTACCTTTACGGGATTTCAGAGACAAGGGTTAGAACAACATTGAATATAAAAACGTGTAAATGGATCAGCTAGCTATTTAAACCATCGGATTTAAATTATTAAACCCCAATGGAGATACAAACTGACTAGACAGACAAATACATTAGTGATTTTTTTTTATTTATGCCTAGCTGACCCGTTTCGCCTAAAAAATTCTCACCTATTAAACCTTCTCTGGACTTTCACGAACATTTGAAGACCAAAATTAGCCAAATCGGTTAAGTAGTTCTCCAGTTTTAGCGAGACTAGCGAACGGAAATTCATTTTTATTTGTATACCTCTAGATTCCAGATCAATCAAAATATTAATAAGTTTTTGAATTTTCGACAAACACAACATAAGTATTGAGTTTACCTCTAGAATTATTCCATTATTGGACAATAGGTTACTTTGCGAGGTCAAAATCAAAATAATTCAACTCAATTAGACCAGGAAGGCACTTTTGAGAGTCAAACAAATATTAAAATAGTAAAAATGACAGTCAAGCGGTCAGTCCTCTAGTGAAGCTATTTGCTCATTCCAAGGTGTAGATTCCTATGGAGAAGAACAAGCAAAAAACTCCATAGGTTACTCTTCTTCAATCAGATTTACAATATAATTCTTTATTACATAGTTTCTTTGATTTCTTTCTTTAAATACATAGAAATTTTATCAAAATTAGCAAAAGGTCAACCTTTTGATGGTAATACTTCTCTTCAGGAAATACAAGGTATGACTTTTATATTACTTACTTTTAACCTCGGTCAGGTTAATGATCCAACTTAAATGATATTCCATGAACATCTTCCGTCATCTTAGTATGGATAGGGAAAATAACAAACAATAGCGCTGATAGCCTTGTAAGACAAGGAAGAATATGAATTGAAAGTATTGGTTTCGTAAAACGTAGTCGATTAAGACATTGCCTACTGAATTATTTTGCGAAAGTGTGTACACGTGTACCTGGATAATAAATAATAATAGTTATAAAAGGTTATGCAGATTTTAACATGACAAAGACAGAATTATTATATTATGAAAACTTTGGAGTCAATATTTTAGATAATCATGATATTATGAGCATTTGTGACAAGAAGATTGCTCTTGCTTTTGTTCAAAACTTCAATTAGCATTTTTTACTACATATGAATACAGGGTGTAAACGGAACGCCCCAGAAACACCAACAAAAATATTTTTTTGACAATTTTAA